CTCTAATTTTTCATCCACAATATCTGGCTAAAAAAAAAAAAAAAAAGAACCAGATAACTAAAAGCCAGAATTTAAAAGAACAACAAAAATAGACCTAGAGATAAGATGTTAAAGTAATCAGTGACTTTAATATAAAGATAATTCATGTGTTCAATAAAACTGAGGAGAATATGAAGAATTTCAACAGAGATCTGGAATCTGTTAGAGAACTTCTGGTAAACTGGAACACAAGTCGGTAAACTATATATAAATTTGAAGCACAGAGGGAAAAAGGGATAGAAAACACCCAAAAGAGTGTGAGAGATATATAAAGAACAGTGATAAGTCTAACATGCATGTATTTAATTGGAGTTCTAGAAAGAGGAGATGATGGTTCAGAAACAATATTTGAAGAAACACTGGCTAAAATTGTTTCAAAGTTAATAAAAATCCATTAAACCACAGAATCAAGACACTATGAATCTCACGTAGATTACAAATATAAGGAAAACCACACCTGGGTAGATCACAGTTATATTGCTAATAACCAAGACAAAGAGAAAAATCTTAAAAGCACTCAGAGGGAAAAAATCCCACACATTTCCTTCAAAGAAGCAACAATAAAGCTATAAGCTTACTTTTCAAAAGAAATTACAAAAATCAGGACATAATGGAATGACATTAAAATGCTGAAAGTGTTTTAAAAATGCCATCCTACTATCTCACCTGGGACTCTATACACAATAGAAATATTATTCAAAAAAAGAAGGCAAAAATTAAGGCCTTTTCAGACAAACAAAAGCTGAGAGAATTTATTACCAATAGATCTTCACCATAACAAATACTAAAGACTTATTCAGTCTGAAGAAAATGATTCCACATGGAACCACAAGCTTGCATAAAGGAATGAAGGGAACCAGAAAGGGTATGTAATTAATCTAAGTAAAATAGACTGGTTTATAAAAGACAAATATAAAATAATAACAATAATAATATCTTATATGGATTTGATTATAAATAGAAGTAAAATATATGACAATAGCACAATAGATCAGAGAGATAGATAAAGTTAAACTGTTGTAAAATCCTCTAATTGGGGGAAATTGTAAACGTGCCACTTAAAGGTAAACTATAATAAGTCTAGGATGAATGTTGTATTCTATTGTTGCTCAAAAAACTACCCCAAAATGTATTGGTTTAAAATAATAACATCATTTATTTTGCTTGTAAATCTATAATTTAGGCAGGGGTCAGTGGGGTCATCTTGTCTCTACTCAGAATCAGCTATGGTGGCTCAAAGGCTGAATACTGGAACCATCTGAAGACTTACTAACTTATCTGTCTGGTAGTTGGCACTAGCCATTGGCTGGAATCTCCTTGGGGCTATGCCCAGAATACCTCCGTGTAGTCATTCCATATGGCTGCCTAACATAGCATGGTGGCTGGATTCCAAGGTTGGGTGCTTAGAGAATAGAGCCAAGCAGAAGCTATATCACCTTTCCTAACCTATTATCAGAAGTCATGCAGTGTCACTTCCACTACATTCTATTGGTTTAGAAGCAAGTCACTATGGACAACCCACATTCAGAGGGAGGGAAAGTCGAACTCTTCCTGTTGTTGGGAGGAATATCAAAGAGTAAGTTTTAAAAGCACAAGTGTAAGTTTCAACAACTTTCAAGTTGTATATTCTACATACAAGTGTTTAGTCAGGTGTATTTATTGAAAATATCTTTTTCCGGGGTGCCTGGGTGGTGCAGTCGGTTAAGCGTCCGACTTCAGCCAGGTCACGATCTCGCGGCCCGTGAGTTCGAGCCCCGCGTCAGGCTCTGGGCTGATGGCTCAGAGCCTGGAGCCTATTTCCGATTCTGTGTCTCCCTCTCTCTCTGCTCCTCCCCCGTTCATGCTCTGTCTCTCTCTGTCCCAAAAATAAATAAACGTTGAAAAAAAAAATTTTTTTTTAAAAAAGAAAATATCTTTTTCCAATTAGTAGCTTATGTCTCATTCTCTCCTTTCATGAAGAGAAGTTCTTATAATATAGTACACTTTATCATGTTTTCCCTTAAACTTAATGGTTTTTGTGTGTCCTAATTAGGAACCTGACCCCAAGGTCATGATGATATATTCTTACTTTTCATGTCTTGATCAACAATAATTTAGAATTAATTTTTATGTATAGTGTGAGGTTGGGATCAAGTTTTCTTTTATTTATTTATTTTTTTTTTTTTGGATATCCTATTGACTAGGAACAATTTATTATAATGAAGATGTCCCACTGTAGAGTTACCTGTGTCTTAAATCAATGGCATATACAATGAGTGTGTTTCAGGACTTTCTGTTCTATTCCATTTGTCAATTAGTCTATCCTAGTGAACACTATGCTATTTTTTTTTAAGTTTATTTTGAGAGAGACAGAGACAGCATGAGCAGGAGAGGAGCAAAGAAGGAGAAGGAGAGGAGAATCCCAAGCTGATTCTACACTGCCAGCACAGAGCCTGATGTGGGGCTCAAACTCACAAACTCTGAGATCATGACCTGAGCCTAAACCAAGAGCCATTCGCTCAACTGACTGAGCGACCCAGGTGCCCCAACACTACACTATTTTAATTACTCTGACTCTAATAAATCTTGATAGTCTGGTAAGCTAGCCTCTCACCTTGTTCTTTGAGTGTGTATCAGATCCTTGGATTTCCATAGAAATTTTAGAATTAGCTTGTCGAGTTTCACATAGGTTAAGATTTTGATTGCACTATAGCTATAGATCAATAAAAAGAGAACTGACATCTATGTAATATTGAGTCTTCCAATCCATGAACATAAAATTCCTCCATTTATTTAGGTCTTCTTTAATCTCTCTCAGTACTCTTTCATAGTTTTTGATATTGAAGACCTGTGGGTCTTCATTAGATTCATTCATAAGATTTTTATATTTGTAATACTATTAATATCTCTTAAATTCACTTTGTAATTATTCATACCTGGTTTGTAAAAATATCATTGTGCTTCTATTTGTATTTGCATAACAACTTGCATCCAGCAATCTCTAAATTCTTTTGAATACACTATGGATAGATGTGTCATCTGCAAATGGAAAGAATTTTATTTCCTCCTTTCTGGTCTCTGTTTTCTGCTTGCCTTAATGTACTGACTAGCACTTCTATACAATGTTGAATAGAAATAGTGATAAAGGACATTCTGTATTTGAGAGAACTGGGATTGATGAGGAGACTTTTTTTTTCAATATATGAAATTTATTGTCAAATTGGTTTCCATACAACACCCAGTGCTCATCCCAAAAGGTGCCCTCTGATGAAGAGACTTCTATTTAGAACTCTGAACTTGTTCATGTGTATTTTTAAGTGTATTACCCACTTAAAAATATAAATCATTTAACAACTTAAAGGCCATAATTTTCACTTATGAAGCATGTTTAGTAGTTATATTTTTCTTTAGTATAGAAGGAAATGCTGCATAATTAGGAATTAAAGATTCTGTGGAACACTTAATGAGCATAAGCATAGATATGCCATTCCAGCACCAATTTAAAAAAAACTTGTGTTGACAAAAGAAAATCGAGTCTTCATTTCAGTGAGCTAAAAATGAACTGAGACAATTAAAGTTACATTTTCTGTAAGCCTGTCTTGCTCCAAAGACCATTACTTAGGTTTAGGAAGTGTGGGTGTCCAGCAAGTGGCATCTGTTGCCTATTATCAGGAGCAGAAATCTGAGAGCTTCTGCCATTGCATCTTGGTATCAGTTTAGTTGCCAAGGAAAACACAATCCAGTCAACTACTTGATGGAACAATTCTTCACTCATATGAAGACCAAGTAGTATCAGTTTTAGTAGTGAATGTCAGTTTTCCATGCAAGAGGTCCCTCCCAGAAGCCGATCTAGGGCAATTGGCCTGTACGGACCCATCTTGTTGTTTAGCAACCCCTTGCCAAAGGGTATATCCTCTTTCCAAAGTGGAGTTGGCCAGGTGTCATATTACATACACAGGCACTATAACACACACAATGCTTAAGCAGAAAAAAGTACACATTGAGTTTGAAGTGGAAAGATATTCAGACAATTCCAGCACAAGCTATAGAGACTATGTCTCTTGGTAAGAAGTGTTCCGGCCCAAGACCCAGTCTTGTGTGACCCAGTGGGGAATCAAAAGACTGTATCTTCAGACTGCCTTTCTCAATAGATTGGCTCTTTCATAGGAAACAAAGTAAAATTACGAGAGTCACAATTTTAAATGAGTTAGAAAATATATACTTAATTACCCTGAGAGTTTTTATCCATAGCAAAGCTTCATAATGAAGCATAAGGATACAAGATTTATAATCCATGTTTTATTATCTATGAGCAATTGAGCAATTTTTAAATTTCTCTGAACTTTACTTTTCTTGTATGTAGTAAAATGGAGCTAATACCACCAGCTTCCAAGTTGTAACATATTAACTGAGATAACATATGTAAAATCCCTACCACCTCCCAAGACAGTCATTAAATGCTCACCTGCAGGGTCAAACTTACAAGAAAATCTGGGTAGTATAAGTGCCTTTCTTTATAATAAGAAAACTAGCAAATAAAGTATTACTAGGCAATTTTATTTAATACTTTACATATCTGAATAACTGATTAAAAATCAAATGTTTAACAGTTTTTAAAGAGTTGCACAAAAGGAAAATAATGGGGAAAGTAATAGCCTGTTTGCCAAATTCAATTGGATGTGGGCTCGGTTTCATTAAACCTAAAAAAAATTCTAAGTCTTTAGATGCTGAGACTCCAAAAAGTAGCAGTTGGAATTAATACTGGTTTTGGATTCACGATTCACAGAAATCATTATATTTCTTTCTTGATGCTGTAGATGTTTAACAACATGTTGACAGAAGCCTAACTTCTTGCATGGATTACACATCAAAACACCAATTTGCGCAAATAAATTAGAAATTGACAACAAATACATTCAGATATTATGGAACTGTATAACAAATACAAAGTTATTAACTTTCCAGAGGGATTAAAAAAAGTATTAATAAAGAGTGGTCTTTTTCATCATCCTCAAAAATTCTTCCTCACTTATTTCTCCATCCCTATCACGATCAGCTTCATCAAGCATTTCCTATAAAACAAAATGTAAATACGGTATGTGAAATCATTAAAAATGAATGATATAATATTCAAATATATATATACAAATTTTATTTTGAATGTATTTGAGTCCATCTAAGGAATATAATTGTAAATTATAATATATATATAAATTACAATTGTATATAATATATATAAATTACAATTGTATATATACATGTAAGTTATAAAAATTATAAAAATAAGTAAAATTTACCTGAAGTTCATCATCTGTTAAATTTTCCCCTAGTTCCTTAGCAACCCTCTTGATATTGTTTAGTGTTATGCTTCCAGTATCATCATCATCAAATAATTTGAAAGCCTTCAATATTTCTTCTTTCTCACTCTTTAAAAACAGAAACAACTGTCATTAATCTTTCATTTATTTATTCTATCAAATTGGACTTATGGGTGTTTGAGGTCTACAGCAGCAATCTGCCAAGTAGCTGCGTTCATTTACTGTTCTAACTTTTTATTCCAAGGCACTCACATCTGCTCTCAGGGTATTTAAATTCAGAATTTGTTAAAGTGGAAGAGGCAAGGGTGATAAAGATAATGGATCTCTATTAACTCCAGTAATTGATACCAACTACCAAAAAATGTAAGCTCTAACAGGGAGGTTGTCTCATCCAATGCTCTCTAGAACAGTGCCTAGCAAAAATAGGCACTCAAGAGGTGTTTGCTGAACTCAAGGCTTCAACGTGCTGACCCCATTTTCTTTATCCAGCCATTTATCTTTATTATTTCCTAACAACCTTCTCCACACTGGACAGTCTTTATTACTACCCTGAAAACATCTTTAATCTTGCTATTCCTGTCTATCTAAATCCCACCCATTTTTAAAGACCTAGTTCCAATTCATTGATTGCTCCAGCCAAAAAAAAAAAAAAAAAAAAAAAAAAAAAAAAAAAAAAAAGTAGAAGGCTATTGCTTGTATTTCTTTGAAAACCAAAATCACTACTATACCATTTTTACACTCATTATGGCAAAAAAATCTTCAAAACTAATGGTGCCATTTCCTTCTTTGTCGATTTCAGCTATCATTTTTTTAATTTCTTCTTTCTTTGGTTCAAATCCTAAGGCTTGCATTGCAATCTGAAATAGAAAACAAATAAATAATATGCCACGGTCTCATTCCTAGCTTTTAAATTACCTAATAATTACTAGATTTTCTCTTTTTTACTACGGACTAGGCATAAACCTAGAAAGTCAGGTCAGCAGGCCTAGGTTGCAATTCCACTATGCCATAGGATATGTTACTGTTACACCCAGAGTTTTTGTTGTATTCATTCATAAAACAAGAATAAATGCCTAACAAGATATAATTTTGTTAGTATGGGGCAGGTGCATACACTGAAGGTGTAGGTGTCCACAATGAAGAGACTTTATATCAAGCTTTTAGAAGGCTGCTGTTAAAGACTGAAAGATTTGTTTTTAAAATGTCTTAGAATTAGAAGTAATTTCAAAACCTTCAATTCTTTCACATCTATGGTTCCAGACCCATCAACATCAAATAAATCAAAGGCTTCTTTAATTTCTTGCTTTTGGGTTTCATTCAATTCAAGTTTTGCTGCTCTTTTCTTCCATTGGTCTGAACTTGTGGATGCCTGTAATAAACACACATGTGCGTGAAAAACTATGTAACAGGAAAAGTTACCAGAACCAGAAAAATTGATAAATACATAAGCATGTTCAAGAACCCTATTCCCTAGTACATAATGACCATCAACAATTTCCACCTTTTCCTTTTGCTAACATTTATGCTATTAGTTATTAATATCTTGGTGGAAAGCTTGGTTCTTTTTACCACTTGTTTTTCCTTCAACCTAGTAGAACATTAGATGTTATGTCAGAATGGACTGGCCTTACTTGGTATATTTGAAAAAAAGTGTTTAAGGCATACCTTTTACCTAGGCCTATATATCTCATAATAAGATTTATTTTGTGGGATATGCTTGACTGAAACATGATATCCTTTCCCACCTTTTAGCGTACTTTCCTATATTGCAGAGGCTAAGAAATGAAAAAAACTACATCTTCCAGGTGAAAAACTACTCCAGCGATCTGGATAAGAATAAATGTTAGGCCAATTATCAATATCCAGGTAAAGTGGAGGTCATCTGCCTGCTGTGTGCCATTTTCTTCTGGCAAGCAAGGTCACAGAGTTACTCCTGGGTTGTTCTGCAGCCTTATTTCAATATCTTGTCTCCCCATCTTTGGGTTAGGAAGCCGTGGCGGCAGAGACGGCAACTGGACTCCACGTTCCTGCGCACCTAGTCTCCAGTTTCGCGTGGTTTCGTTGTGGTAGCCGCAGATTCTTGATCCCTGGACCGCAAATCCACTGGTGTGGTCTTCAACTCCACAGTTTAGCCTTCACAACCTTCACCTTCCCAACAGTAGCAGAATTCGTAGCTATCCCGGCCACTTTTTCGGAGGTCAGGACCTCTTTCCTAGAGACCTAGACCCTCCAACAGATTTTAAGTTTCTTATTCTCTGTATTCAATTCCTCTCTGGCCGAACAGTGGTTTCATTTCCATCATAGAACCTACAGCGGAGTGCTGGTATTAGCAGTTGGCGGGGATAAACTGGAGACCCGCTCTTGCGTCCTTAAGAGCCACCGGCAATGTGCTTCTATTTGACCACGAGAGGAGGAGTTACTAAACGACACTCGAGGATCAGGAGGCGAGTAATATATTTCACATACCAAAAACAATTCCTTCTCTGCTCCGGGGAGAGATTTCAGCACCAGCCCTGGCCCAACAAGCGGTTACAGCTTCACACTCACCATGTCACCAACCGGTGCCCTCAGCCGGGACCTCCCAATCGCAGCCGCCGGCAGCACAGCCCAACCGCTGTCTTCACAGTTCAGAAACCGTTGCTAAGGCCGCTCTCGCCTGCCTCATAAGCAGCCCCGCCCACCGAGGCCTACTGATTGACTGTAGTTCCACCCAATAGTCAGAAAAGAAGGCCCTTGAGGCCAGCCCCCTCTCCCTACTCTCTACCAATAGAGTAACGCTCTGCCTTTCCCAGCCAACCCTTAAGCAGAACTTTTCCTCTGGTTTCTTAGCGACCAGCCCCGCCCAGCCGGCCCTCTCACCCCGCTTCGCGCATGCGCAAAACGCCGGCGGGGAAGGGGGCGTCTTCGTCCCGGCGCTCTGGCGTCCAAGGGCCGGCCAGGACCGCGTCTGGCGGTGGGAAGCTAGGAACTGGAGCCTCGGGTGAAGATGGAGAAAAGAGCGAGGTTAGTAACGAGGTGCTTCCACTGACTGCTAAGTCTTCAGTGCAGCCTTATTTGCTTTTTTGACCTCTTCGTGCCCGGGGTTATGACTGAGAATCTAGGGCTTGGCGGGCCGGGTAAATTTGGTCCAGTTTTGGTTTACCATCCGACTGGGATTACCAGAGGTGGAGGGGACTGCCTTTTCCATGCGCCCCTCGATATTTCTCAACTTCCACAGTGCCCGGGGATTGGCCTTTAACATTTCCCTCTGGTTCGGAGAGATTCTGGTGCGGTAGGGGTATGACTGGAAAGAAGTGGGGATGGCGACTGGAAGGAAGCCGGATAAGGTGTTGTGATGTATCAAGCCTCACTGCATAGGAAAGGGTTTTTACCTGTGTTGTAGTATTTATTCGCCGAGCAGGACTTTGGCCCCACCCATATTACTGTCAGACAGACACCGCCCCCCATCCCCCACCTCATCCCCAGCCATTCCAATGGTTTGAATCCCAAGATTTGACCGGCTTTCCAGCCATATCCAGCATAGATCCATACTCATGAGTCAGTCAGACACAAGTAGTCTGATAATCCAATAGACTCAGGATTTAGAAGCCCATAACTGCTGTAAATCAAAGCAAATTTTTGCCCAGAGAGCCAGACTTGCTGGTTTGCCCAATCATGAATCTGGTTAGGGACCAGCTTAAGGGTGGGAAAGAATGAGGTGGACCTCTGACTTCCTGGTAGGAATGAAGTGATGATAGCCCTTTAAAATTTCTAACCCTAATAGCTTACACATCAGGATTCTTTTTATGCCTTCTGCAGTACCTTCTGCAGAGTAAGTACTTTATTTAACAAAAATCATACAGGCTTCTCCAGCAGTGAGTGGATTCAGAAGGAACATTAACTTTTGCCTAGATTTTTTTCCCTTTATCCCACTTACTCCTTGAAGTTAGGGCAAGAAAAATGTGCAAAGTACATTCTTGAAGCAGTCTCCCAAATCACTGTTCATACTGTAGTAAATAGAAACATGGCACATTTTCTAAAACCATCATCCTGTCTGGTTCATATTATATCCTAGTCAGACATCCAAGCTTTGTAACCATAGATAAACAGCTCATTAGGATTCTGGAAAATAGGTAAGGTTATTCTAATATGAGAAGTTTTTTTTTTTTTTTCTGTATTAAGTTGTCCCTGTGGAAATTAAAATGATGCAAGTTCAAGATATTTTGTGAACTAAGTAAAAATATTCATTCACTTATAATACAGCTGTCTCTTGAACAACATGGATTTGAACTGTGTGGGCCCACTTACACATAGATATTTTTTTGGAGATTTGCCACGATTTGAAAAGACTCCCGGTTGAACCTCATAGCCTAGAGATGTTGAAAATTTTAAGAAAAAGGTATTATTATAAAAACACAGTATATAATACATATGACATAAAATATGTGTTAATCAACTGCTTATGTTATTGGTAAGGCTTCCAAACAACAGTAGGCTATTGGTAGTTAAGTTTCAGGTGAGTTAAGAGTTATATTTGGATTTCCGGTTGTGCACTGATTGGTTGGGGCCCCTAACTCTCAGTGTTTAAGGGTTAACTGTGTATTGATTTTTCAGGCCATTGGTCTCACTGGGAAAATTCCTTTTGATCACTTTCAAGGACATTTACTGCATCTTTTCTACTAATATTTTCAGGATTTCTGAGACCCAGAAATAAATAGTGACCAAACATATAGAACCAGGTTCTAACCTAGATAAAGTTTGATCTCATGGCAATTAAAAGGCTGAAGTAATATATTAACCTGCTTTTATATCACTTTATGATTTAGGTTCTTATATTTGGGAAATTAACTTCTAGTGAAAATGATTTTTTAATTATAGGCTCAGATTACAATTTCTAGGTCTTGGGTAGGAAGTACTTAGTCTTGAAAAATAGCTGTTATTAATGTAATTGTATTATACAACAATAATGGTAATAATAATTAATCTAAGAAAATATTAAATCCATTGGCACTCTTAAGTAAATCTATAATTATTTAATACTTTCCACATGTACTGTGCCAACTATTGGGTGAGTTTGAAAGGAACTGAATGTAGAGTATAAAGAAGAATAAAAGCAACCCACAGATTAGTCGGGGAGAAAGGCACAGACACAAATACAGAATTTGAAATTCAGGGTGCTAAGTGCTTCAGTAGGTGTGTGTAGAAAGTGCTTGAGCACAGGAAAGAGGCACTGTTCCTTCCTGGTGCATTGGAGAAGGTTATATTCAAAATGTGGCATTTGCCTTGGGTCATGAAAGATACACAGCATTTGCCAAAGTGAAGAAAGGGTAGGATATTCAAATCTGAATATAGCATGTGTAAAAATGAAAATAAATGTGTCTTCTCGTGTGGCAAGATCATAGGGTTTATATGGAAGGGTGGAAAATGAGTCATAAATTACATTGAGGTCCAATTATGGGACACCTATGTCAAGCTAGGGAGTAAAGATTTTGTTTTATAAGATAAACAGATGTTTTTAGGCAATGGAGTGCTTTGATTAGGTTTGTGCTTTTCAAAGATAATTCTGACAACCATGTGAAGGAGGTACCGTTTTGGAATTATGGGATCTCAACTAAGACAGTGCCATATAGGAATCACATCAACTCTAAAGGTGATTGAAACTTAAATTTGTGGTGGGGGAATACTGACAGCACCATCTGTTTAATCTTTTCAGTTTTGTACTTAAAAGTTAAGATTTAGCAAATATGGTGAAAGCCATTTCTTCATTTGCTCACCAGATACTTCTTGAGTGCAGTATGTCAGACAATATTTTTGTTATGTGGGATACCTCAGTGACTAAAATTATCCTCCTGGGAATTAGATTTCAACAGAGGGAGATAGCTGAGAAATAATAATAGATATGTAAACTGTGTACTATTTTATAAGGTGATAAATGTTATGGAAAAAAAGGAAGTAGAGCAGTTAATAGGAATCCAAGTAGTTAAAGTTCATCCAAACAGTTAAAGGGAATTCTACACTTAGAAAGGAAGAGCTTGTGGTGTTAAATAGGGTGCCCAAGCGTGGGCCTCATTTAAAAGGGGAAATTTGAGTAAATACTTAGAGGTGGCAAGGCAATAGATTTCCCAGGGAAGAGCATCCCAGAAAGTGGGAGCAACTAGAACAGAAATTATAAGTTAAGGAGCATGCCTTGCATGTTCCAGGAACAGAAAGGAGGCCACAGCCAAGTGCTCAAGGGATAGTGTAATAGGAAACAAAGAGGGGTAAGAAGAAGGGGTGCAGATTATTAGGGCTTTAAAGACCTTAATTTTCATTCCTGGTGAAATGGGAAGACATTGCAGGATTTTGAGCAGAGAAGTGAAAGGATCTGAGTTAATTGTTTAAAAGGAGTCCTGTGTGAGACAAAGGAGCAAAGGCCTTTATGTTCGAAGTTGAAGGTTTTTTAAGTAATGGAATCATATGATTAGACTGCTATATTAGGAATAGATGAGATATGCAAACTATTGATTTTGATGATGACAAAAGCTAATCATACCTGTCATAAAATAATAGTATTTTTAAAAATTCAACTCCTAAAAAGCATTGCATGTCTTAGTATTCTAAAACAAATTCCGTATACAGGACTAGACATGATAAGAGGAAAAGAAAGCTGCTTCTGATGTCAAAACCCAGTGAAGTAGTATGAATGCTTCTATTACAGCTTTAAAATGTTCAAGAAACATTAAGCTGACAAGTAAAGTTATTAAGGATCTCAATAATAAAACAGCTGTTTGTGGAAAACACTGGTGCTGATGTATCTCAGAACAAGAATCAGAGTGTGTCAATTCAATGCCAAGAATAGTTACCAGAGATGTTTTTATCTTTGGAATTATGTATTTCACCATCCGCTTCACTGTCTTTGCCTTTTTATACTCCACTTTTTAGAAGATGAAGGATTTTTATTTTATGCTAATTAACTAATCTCTCTAAAATAATTACTTAGGAGCTTTTCTAACCTTAGGAATGATAAGACTGGCTTTTTTTTTTTTTTATTGCTGCTGAAACAGAATAGTCTTCAAATGCTGAAACAGCATTTCTCTTGAATATTTATTTATTTGTTTATTCATATTTTATTGAGTAGAATTGACACACAGTGTTACATTAGTTTCAGGTGTACAACATAGTGATTCCACAGCTCTGTATGTTATGCTATGCTTATCACAAGTGGAGCTACCATCTGTTGCCATACAACACTATTACAATACCATTGACTATATTCTTTATGTTGTACTTTCATCCCTGTGACTTATTCCTTCTATAATTGGGAACCTGTACCTCCCACTC